CATTGTGTTATTTATATATGTTGGAGTTTAAACATGTAATTAATTGGTTTTACTGCTATTTCAGCTGATGGAAAGAAATTGCACAAGGCTGATCTCAAATTCAAAAGAAGCGTCCTCAGCCATGATATAGGAGTCACGCAGAAGTAAGTGCTATAAAACTATAAATCAACGTTCCCCCACCACCAGAAAAATAGAGCCAAAGATCAATCCTGCAAATTATTAATTACTTTCTATCATAAATACTGATTAAATTGTAAATTTATAACCCTTTTTGTTTGTTGTTCTCTTGGCACCAGGTACAATGTAATCATTGATCACCCCCTTACCATGGATATAAAGAGACTTGTCATGGGTGGCCCGTAAGTAAAAATACATGTCTGATTTAGTGGCATTCAAGTATTATATGTATATGTTCTGAATTCAAATCTTGTCAGAGTTGTTGAATTTAAAAAGAAGTAATCTAGCTGTTCTTGTGATATTTTTAATGTGCTCATGCTATATATGTATACATTTATGTGCATATAGATTAATGAAGTATGAAAAGGAAGGGTATGCGAGGATTGGAGTGATGCCACGTTATGGTAATGCAGAGTCAGTCAAATGGTTTGAGGTACAAACCAATTGCACATTTCACATTCTCAATTGCTTTGAGGAGGACAATGAGGTAATTTACTAATTAAAACTATAGTGAACTTAATTACAGGATGATCAAGATTAAAATTTATTAATATTTACCGTGTTATATATAGTTTATATTTATTGATAAATAAATAATTGGACAGGTTGTTGTGGTGAGGGGATGTAGGGCTCTTACATCTCTCATACCAGGTCCTGATGAACGAGTTGGTAATTTTGGTAACAAGTTTGAGTGGTTCTCCAAGGGGTTCAATTTTGCACATCATGATGATTCTGCAGCAGATGATGATGCTGGAACCGGATATTTCTTTGCTCGTGTATATGAATGGAGACTGAACATGGTGTCTGGGGAAGTTGAGGAGGAGAAAAATTTAACTGGAACTGAATTTGCCATGGAATTTCCTTTTATCAACGAACGATACACTGGTTTAAAACACAAGTATGGTTATACTCAAGTCATTGATTCTGTGGCAAGCTGTAACTCTGGTAATTAACGAAAATATAAACTTTACTTGATTCTCAATTGTTGATGATTTTAAATATTATTGACTTGATGTTTATTACTTTGTATTAGGCTTGGGTAAATTTGGAGCTCTAGCAAAATTATATTTGGATGATCAATCACATTCCACACCATCTGGGGTAACGAATTCATATTTCGTTTTAGTTTACAGTTTTTTTTTAGTCAAATAATCTAAGGCTCAATTTGGGTGAGAGAATTCTAGGTGCCAAATGGGATGGGCATCAACTTAGTAAGGAATGATTGATCCAGAAAATGTTCGAGAGAGGGATATTAGGATTGCCCTTCATGACATGAGCATTGCAAATTAATGCATGTAAGAAGGCTTTGTGGAATATAGATATTTTTTTTACTTTACATCTTTAAGTGGGGGAGGCCATAAGGCTTCCCCAATTAGACAAAAGATTATTTACCTTAATTCCATATTTCTGTGCGAGGTGCAAAGTGGAAGCTAAAACCAAATTAGCTTCTCCCAATTCCAATTATCTTTGACCTAAAGAAAAACCCTTCTCCCATTGAACATACTCTTAAAAGGCATGAACCCAACAATTTATGAGACTTAGCTTTTGTCATTATCTTAATAGGAATCCCTTACGTTTTTGTGATTGTACATATTTATATTTGTGATACTGATAATAATAGGATCAGGAGGAAAGGTGTAGCGATCAGCAGTGGATAAAGGTGGAATACCATAAGTTTGAGGAGAACAACTTTTGCAGTGGAAGCGTTTTTGTGCCTAGACATGGAGGCATAGAGGAAGATGATGGTTGGATTGTCACTTTTGTCCACAATGAAAACACTCATGTAACCCAAGTGAGTTCTGACCCAATTGTAACTTTGTTTTTCTGTATCACATATATATATATATATATATATATATAAACAATTATATATCTTGCTGATGCAGGTTCATGTAATTGATGCAATGAAGTTTCAGAGTGAACCGATTGTGAAAATCACATTGCCACAGAGGGTGCCATATGGTTTCCATGGGACTTTTGTGTCAATGCTTAATTAGTCAATATTAGTATTAGGCATGGCATATAGCTTCACAGAGTCCCATGCATAGTCATACTCTCTAGTCTAAGGAACTTTGCCAGTACAAGGGACTGAATCAGAAAAAGAAAATTACACTTAGTCGGGGACATAAACTTTGTACTTAGTCCTGTGCATATGTGACAGGTGACAGGTTTCATTAGATTAGAGAATCTGGCAGTCAAGTTTGTTAAAGTTCTCATATTGTGAGTGACAGATAAGAGTGGTTAGTCTTGTTATTAAGGAGTACTGTGGTTAAAAAGCATACGCTCCTTTGTACGTAATTGTATCAGTAATAATCTTCCTATGCACATGGAAGTCATCAGTTTATCTCTATGCCTCAATCTCTCTATGTTGTCTCTTTCTATTTTAACATGGTATAGAGCCGGGTTTCTCTCTGTAATTGTATGGTAATCATCTTCTTTTGTATAATGAAATCAGCCTCTCTCTATGCCTCTCTTAACAAAACGTACGTTAATCTGCTGAAGATTTTCTTTAATGAGTCAATGACAGCAGATAAAAATAATAATTAGTTCTTGATAGAGGTATAAGTTGATCACATTAATCCGAGCTACCCCTCATCAAATTCTCCCAACTGTATCTTTCTACAATATTGTTTCACCGTTCCACCTTCACCTAATATGGATATAGCAATCAAAACGAACCACCAGCAATATGTTGGCTTATTGATCTTATACAAGCCCTTTCTGTTACCCAAATTAATGTTTATGGGATAAGGACGGTAGGGTTGGAACTTGGAAGAGGAAATTCATTTAAGAAAAGTTAGCAACTATGTAATGGATCCTACCTACAGATTTTCCAAATCAAAGTATAGTATATATATAGTCATTGATTTCTCTAGCTGTAAAGAAAATTTAGAAAGTACATAATACTTCTCCCTTTCTAAATTTTTATGTCTAGCGAGCCCTCCTGCTAATTGCGAAAAACCCTAATTCCCTGGATTCCATGGCAAGAAATCTGTCTTTGGCTTCATAGATGTAGAAGAAAATGATGCAATAGAAGACTCCCCCAATGACCTCTCCAATAATGATCACCAAGTCGTGTGACTAAGGTCTCCAACTGATAATTGGCAGCCCCTTCAATGTATTCCATCCCCCACACCACAATACTTACCCTAACGCCAACCCCAAGCCCAGAGTCCCCATGGACCCTCTCCCCACTCCAAATTCCATCCCCTTCACTTCTCTATCACTGTGCATTGCCTCACCCCTACCACCGCGAAGGCACCATCTACAGTCTACTCCATTGCAATTTCAAGGCGGCATGGAGTAGGCTTTACTGGCTCCAAGAGTACCCAAATCCGCGCATGGAGGCAACCAGACTACATGGAGTTAGATGCCTCCAGGCGACTCCAGGTGAAATAAGAAGCATTTTGGCTTATAGTAACATGCCTTTCACCACACGCAAAGATCACAAAATCAGAATATGGAATACAGCCTCGGACAATTTTAAATCCAAAAAGGTTTCCTCCATTTCCAAGAAAAAAAAGGCTCATTTCCCTTATTTTCAAAAACCAACAAAAATATAAAACACAAAGAATGTGTTTCCTACTTAGTATATTGTCATGCAGAAGGTTTGATATACATCGGCTTACAGGACACAACAGTACCCTGGAGAATTTTAACCGAGAACTGCGTGGACTCGTTTGTGGAACATGAACTGCAATTATGGTGAACCAAGATGATGGATGTCTCTTCACTTGCTCCTCGGATGGATCAGTAAAAATTTGGAGAAGGGTTTTGGGGAAAAAAACTCTCACACTGTCACCATGACACTGAAATTCCCCATAAACGCCATAGCCCTAAGCACTTCATCACTTAACTCTAGTTGCTTCCTCTACTCTGGATCTTCGGATGGAATCATTAATTTTTGGAAGAAGGAGAAGTTGCCTGTAGATTTAACCATGGTGGGGTTTTACAGGGTCACACGTGTGCAGTGCTTCGCCTAGTGGTTGTGGAGGAGTTGATATTTAGTGGGTCAAAGGATACAACAACTAGGGATTGGAGGAGAGAGGAAGGGAATTGCTTATGAGTGTTTGGCTGTGTTGGATGGGCATAGAGGGCCTGTCAGGTGTTTGGCTCCTTGTTTAGAGATGGACAAAATTGTAACGGGGTTTTCGGGTTATAGTGCAAGTTTGGACCAGAGTTTTAAGGTCTGGAGTGGGATTGAACTATAGGGACAGGAGTTTCTCTAACCCTGTCTTGTCGTCATGGGTTGAGAGGAAGCTGCTTCAAAGGTAATTATTTTCAGTAGGTCATAAAGTATCAGAATAATCAATAATTTCTGTTGCTGCATGCAACCTTTTTATTTTATACCAAGAATGATTATGAAAAACATATTTTCCATGCATTTTGTGTATTGGATCTTTGTTATTTTAACTAAGCCTTAGAGAAACTACTACAAGTATATAGAGCCCACTGGTCCGACAAATCTTCATTAACAATTACCCGCCATGCAGTATTATAGTATTTTCTAAATTTCGACCATGATCGAAGATATTGCCATTCCTATTTTTATTGGTTTCTATTACCATTTATATCAATTAATTTGCACAGTGAGATAATTAGAACGAATGATGTTTTCTGCAATTAGTATTGTCACAAATTTGGGTAGCTAAATTAAAAGTTCATAAGCAATGATTCCAACAATGTGTAATGAGATGTACCAACCCATTCATCGCTGTTACTTCCTAACTTTTTTTTTTTCAGCTACTCCAATGCCCATGCTGCCACAATGAACAAGGAGATTTGTGAAGCTTCAGCTTGGTCCAAAAAGAAAGGAGGGAAAGACTCAAAATTTTTTGCGTTAGCTTGAGAATAATGCTACAATTTTGTCGCTTATGCATGCATGAATGGAAATGTGTAAATATATAAAATAGCTTTGGGGTTGAATTATTGAGTTACCAACCCACCAAATACAATAGTTACATAACAAGCAGAGCTGCAGATTAACCTAACAGAGCAGTTTCCACTGTTGGAATTGGGAGATGAGTTTGCCCAATAATGAAGAAATTTTCATAAATGAACCCAGCAAGTCCACCGCCAATGAGAGGACCAACCCAATAAACCCAGTGGTCAGTCCAATTCCAGCTTACCAAAGCAGGACCAAAGGACCTTGCTGGGTTCATTGAAGCTCCTGAGAAGGCTCCGCCAGCTAGGATGTTGGCCCCGACAACAAATCCAGTTAGTGTAGGGCCCAATCCATTAAGAGATCCTCTCTTATCAACAATTGTAGCATAGACTGTGAATAGCAAGGAGAATGTGAGGACAATCTCCCATATCACACCTTCTAAATAGCCCACCCCACTTGAAAGTGAATGAATTGGAGTAGTCTGCCAAAAAAAATAACAATTAAATTATGTGACATGTAACATGACGATATAAATGAGATTCATAGTGAATTTAAATTTGAGTAACTACAAATTGACATCTACTTAGCGTGATGAAAAATTCTAAACATACCAATCCACTGAGGTACTCTAGAAGGTAACAAGCTGCGGCAGCTGCTAACAATTGATCGATCCAGTAGAGTATAGATCGGAAGAGGGTAATGTGACCGCCAAACAGGAGGCCAAGAGTGACGGCAGGGTTAAGGTGACCGCCAGATATGTGGCCGGCGGATATCATCACGGCCACAACTAGTGCATGTGTCACAGCTACGGCAAACAACCCCACTAGTGCATGTGCTGCTAGCTTATCTGCCCCACCACAACTCAGACGGTTACCATATACATAATATAACCAAAAATACATGACTAGTAATCATGTAGTAAACGACAGAGAAATTATGATCTTGGATCTGTGTCCATGATAGTGATGATGAACTACCAAACCCAAACATATTAGTGATTAAACATTACATATTCGATGTAAGAGTTTTGGTCATTAATCAACGAGAGGTTTTTCCAAGTACTCGGTATTTCATGTGTAGGGTGATTGATTAATAGTTGGAGAGATTATATATTTCCTCGTTTCCCTTTGAAATTATCTTGATGAACAATTCATTTGGTTTATATGAGATTTGAAATCATAGATGTTTTCATTAAATGGAATATTTGTGAGTCACGAGACTAAATGGTTATTGAAACACTATAAAAGATAAAGCAATGGCATATAATTAATTGGGTATGTGCGTATAAATTACCAGTAGCCATGGCTGATGCGACACCAGCAAAGACGAAGAGGAAGGTAGTGATAAACTCAACCACAAGGGCTCTCCAGACTTCTGGAAGGGCACCCTCACCGGTGGTTCCCAAGGCTATTTTCGCCATTATATGCTCTGGCCTATAGGGTCTCTCAATTTTGCAGTTGCTAGGACAATGAAAATGTATACACTATTTATAAGGATATCAACATTGATGAACCAGGTTTTATATATATATGTATATATGCGTATCCAGCTGGGTCCAATAATATAATTATTGACTGCTTCAGAAGTTGTCCAATTACCAAGCAAACCAGAAATGACAATATAGCTAGTCCAATATTCAGTACTATTGGAAATTTACATGGTAACTTTACCTTGTTTGGCATCAAGATCAGAAAGGAGATACGATGATATCTTGGTATATAAATTATTTTGTAAACAAGGATCATCGTCCTCTTCTTTTAAAAAATTAAAATCTTGGAAGGGATTTGTGATGAAAAAAAAATTAATTAGTTAACAATTGTTTATTATTGTTTAATTTAAGGTACATTGGTATTTGATGTCTTACATTATGTTTGGATGATGAAAATAATTTGAGATTTTAACAAAAGTCAAAATTTATAAATTAATATGCACCAAATTCTTTGTTTGGATTCATAAACATAGAAATTTTGAATTTCCGTGTCAAAAAAAGAACTTAGAATTTGGGACCTTCAATTCCCAAGTTTAATTCCATATAAATAGGTATCATTTCCCAATTTCTATGAGTGAGAGTTTAAAAATAACAATTTCCGTATTCAAATTCCATTGTTCTTTTAGGTTAACTAAACAAAAAATTTCACAAATTCTAGATAATAAAATTTCATCATTTTAAAATTCTTTGGTAATCTTAAATTTCCTCATCTAAAGATTAAATTTGTGTTCCTTACCCATAAGGATTAAATTTTACAATTAATCTTCTAATTTGTTTTAGGATTAGTTCTTAATTTATGAATACACTTTTTGTAACTCGTAAAATATAATATGGCAAAATGTAGTACTATGATATTGTAACCGTCTATGCACATGAAAAAAAAAAACCTTAGTACCACATTCATGTAATTGTAGCCAAAACTAAAAAGCTATATTAGTGTGCTATTCCACCTTCTACACCCTAATTTGTTTTCCCGGTTTGCAGTGTGTTTCTTCTGTAACTCTAAGAATAAAAAATAGGGTTTGAGTTTTGATCGTGCCATGCACCAACCCACTGTGATACCATCATACGAAAAGCTGAGATTAATGGATAAAAGTTAAAACAATTGCGATATTCTAATATTATGAGTGTCCTCTGAGTGTGCACTTTGTGTCCTCTTCTTCCATATATGCATTTCCTTTACGTGATTATAAATAAATAGTAAAATAGTTTCAATTATTGATGGTTTCAAGGATTATTTTTGTTGCATTATCCCTTAGTGAACATTAATTTCAATTGTAAATATGAACTGATATTATATATATATATATGTATATATGTATATATGTATATATATGTTAGTTATCAGTGGAAACTTAGGCTTATTCAGTTATTCGCATAATTATGTAAAAGGTTTATCGACCAAAAGTTCAAAACTATATACTATAATAACATTGCTGCCTGTGCAGCTGTGGCCAAACTATACAGATAATTTGCAAGAAAATGAACTATTAAATATGCAGAAGAAATTTTGTTTTCTGCTCACACTTTAGGATTATAATTTACATTGAAAAATGGTGCAATCACTGAATATTTATTTTTGGGGCGTGAGAGCTGAGAGTGGATCTGTTGGAAATTCAAATAAAAACAGGCTGTAAAAGGTTGCTGCTAGCTGGTAGTTTCTTTACAGGTTGTATCCACACATGCTGCAACTACAAAGACTAAAGTTTCCTCCATGTGCTAGTTGAAAGTGTGTTGAAAGACAGCAGAGATGTGAGCTGCTGTGTGCAAGCTGTCCAAAGTTCACATGATCTGTTTGCATGTGTTGTCTTATTGTTTATTCATTTTCTGCTTGTATAAATAAGCCTCCTTGCTAGGCTTTAGAATGATCCCATCCGAATCCCACTTCCAATTGTGAAGAAGCTTGTAAGCTTTCTTATTCCATCAGTTTGTAAACCTTTTGTCATATATCAAAGTCCAAGTGTTTTGCCAAAGCTTGTTGCTTCCCTCCTTTCTCTATTTCTTTCTTTGTCCAATTTTATTGAGAGTGCAAAGTGAGAGGTGTGATAGAGTTTGTAAACTTATCACCCACATATTTTGGTATTGAGTAAGCAAACTCCGGTGAATACCAACAATTGGTATCAGAGCCAGAATACCATTCTGGCAAGTGCAGTAGCTATGGCGTCTAATTTAGTGCAACTCCAAGTTCCCACATTGAAGAAAGAAAATTATGAAAGATGGTGCATCCAATTCAAAGCATTGTTTGGATCACAGGAGCTATGGGAAGTTATCAGTAATGGGTATGTTGTACCCACTGCCGAGCAAGAAGTTGCATATACTGCAGAACAAAGGAACACTCTCAAGGACTTACGAAAGAATGACCAAAAGGCAGTGTATCTTCTATACCAGGGTCTAGAAGATTCAACGTTCGAGAAGGTTGCAGAAGCAACAACGAGCAAGCAAGTATGGGACACACTCAGTACAATCTACAAAGGAGTAGATCGGGTCAAGAAAGTGAGATTACAGTCACTTCGAGCAGATTTTGAAACTGCTTACATGAATGAAGGAGAGAGCATCTCCGACTATCACTCAAGGCTCATTGTGATAGTAAATCAGATGAAGAGAAATGGCGAGAGACTCGATGAAGTACGAGTTGTGGAGAAGATACTCCGGTCACTCACATCTAAGTTTGAGCATGTGGTGACTGCCATTGAGGAATCCAAGGATTTGGAGGTGATGAGCGCAGAGGAGCTACTAGGATCCCTCCTAGTTCACGAGCAACGCATTCAGAAGAATGCAAGCCCCACAACGCTAGAGCAAGCTTTGGAGTCAAAGTTGAATATTGACAAACCAAATAAAGGTCGTGGGCAGTGGAACTCACGTCATGGGAGTTCATCTAACCGTAGCCGAGGACGAGCTCGAGGAAGAGGTCGAGGTTATGCACAAAATCGAGGTCAGTCTCAGAAGTGGAGATCTACTCGAGGAAAGACGCATATCCAATGTCACAATTGCAAGCAATATGAACATTATGCCAATGAATGTTCACATAAAAATGGTGAGCATGTCAACATGGCAGAATCAAGTGGAAATACTGATGAAGAACTTACAGTCTTGCTAGCACACCATGATTCCAGTAGCCAACAAGATGTTTGGTATTTGGACTCTGGTGTAAGCAATCACATGTGTGGAAAGAAAGAGTTTTTTGCCGAACTAAAAGATGGGGCCTATGGATCTGTAAGTCTTGGTGACTCCTCAAAATTGCCAGTTGAAGGCAAAGGGAAGATCAAGATCATCCAGAAGGATGGTAAAGAAGAATACATCTCCGATACCTACTACATACCAGGTATGAAGAGCAACATTCTAAGCATTGGTTAACTGCTCAAAAAAAGGTACATTATACATATGGAGAATATGTTTCTCACTCTCAGGAATGCAAGGAGAAAACTTATTGCACGTGTTCAAATGTTAAAGAACCGAATGTTCCCGTTGAAGTTGAACACAAAGATTGGGAGTTGCAACATCGGTGTAATGGAAGATGAGTCATGGAAATGGCACCTTCGATTTGGCCATCTTTATTTCAATGGCCTAAAGTTGCTGTCAAGTGGAGGAATGGTTCGTGGTCTGCCCCAAATTGAAGCCACACGCCAAGTATGTGAAGGTTGTGTGCTTGGCAAGCAAACACGACTATCGTTCCCTGTTGGTGATACATGGAGAGCAAGGGCACCACTGCAGTTGGTGCACACAGATATATGTGGTCCATTGGATCCCATGTCTTATGGAGGTAATAGGTATTTTATTACTTTCATTGATGATTTTAGTAGGAAGACTTGGGTTTACTTTCTCAAGGAAAAGTCGACTGCCCTAAGAATCTTCAAGGAGTTCAAGGCACTCACAGAGGCTGAAAGCAACCACAAGCTTGTGGCTGTGAGATCAGATAGAGGTGGAGAGTACACCTCCAATGCTTTCCAAGCATACTGCAAGGAGCAAGGAATTAGGCATCAACTTACTGCTGCCTATACCCCACAGCAAAATGGGATAGCCGAAAGAAAGAATCGAACCATCCTTGACATGACAAGGTCCATGCTTAAGGAGAAGAATTTGCCAAAAGAGTTATGGGTAGAAGCTGTAGCTTGTTCGATTTATTTGTTGAATCGATGTCCAACAAAGAGTGTCAAGAGGATGACACCATAAGAGGCTTGGAGTGGATACAAGCCGTGGATACAAGCCGAATGTTACACACCTAAGAATTTTTGGGTGTGTTGCATATGCTCAAGTTCCAGAAGCCAAGAGGAGGAAACTTGATGATAGAGGTGAGAAGTGTGTTTGTGGGTTATAGTGAAGAGTCCAAGGCGTACAAGCTCTACAACCCACTAACTGGCAAACTAGTGGTTAGTCGAGATGTCATCTTCAGTGAGGAAGAGACATGGAAGTGGAACAACAAAGAAGTCAGTAAAGAGAAGATCGTTTCCACTGATTTTGAAGAACCAGAAGTTGTACCACCTATTGAGCAACAGCCTGCTCAAACAATCACAACAACTCCAGTGCACAGAATTGCAAGGAGTGGTCTTACATCTAGTGAGGAAAGCAGCTCCTCAACTCCAGTGAGGTTAAGGAGTCTCACAGAGATTTATGGACAAGAAGAAGAAGAAACCAATTTTTTCTGCTTCTATGCAGACCACGAGCCTCTCTCATTCAATGAAGCTGTGGAAGAAAATTGTTGGAAAAAAGCCATGGAAGAAGAGATCCATGCCATCGAGAAGAATGACACTTGGGAGTTAACAAAGCTCCCACCAAATCAGAAGGCTATTGGTGTCAAGTGGGTGTACAAGATCAAACGCACTGCAGATGGGAGTGTAGATCGGTACAAATCAAGGCTTGTAGCAAAGGGCTACAAACAGAAGTATGGAGTGGACTATGATGAAGTCTATGCTCCAGTTGCAAGACTTGACACGGTAAGATTACTAATCTCTCTTGCCGCTCAGCATAAATGGAAAATTTATCAATTAGATGTCAAGTCAGCCTTCCTTAATGGAGTTCTTGAGGAAGAAGTGTACGTGAAATAACCAGAAGGCTTCCAAGTACAAGGAGAAGAAGAAAAGGTGTATCGTTTGAAGAAGGCTTTGTATGGCCTCAAGCAAGCACCACGAGCTTGGAACTCAAGGATTGATAACTACCTTCACCAAAATGGATTTCAGAAATGTCCATACGAGCATTCAGTTTACATGAAGAATGGTGCAAAAGGTGAGTTCTTAATTATTTGTCTCTATGTAGATGACTTGTTGTTTACAGGAAACAATGAAGCAATGTTCTGTGAGTTCAAGCAATCCATGTTCAGTGAATTCGAGATGACTGACAATGGATTAATGTCATACTTTCTTGGCATAGAAGTGAAGCAATGAAGTGACGGTATCTACATCTCTCAACAAAAGTACATGAGAGATATATTGGAGAAATTCAATATGGACAAGTGCAATATTGTCAACACTCCAGTTGCAACTGGATTGAAGCTGTCCAAGGAAGGAGAAGGTGAGTTTGTAAACTCAACCGTGTACAAAAGCTTGGTTGGAAGCCTACAATCACAAGACCTGATATAGTTTATGGTGTTGGACTCGTGAGTCGATACATGGAAACACCAAGGGAGTCTCATTGGCTGGCCGCCAAGAGAATTTTGAGGTACATAAGAGGTACTCTAAACTATGGTCTATTTTATAATTTTGGTGAAGATGCAAAATTATTTGGTTATTCAGATAGTGATTGGGGAGGTAACCAAGATGAAAGGAAAAGCACAACTGGCTATGTGTTTTTTCTAGGATCAACAGCTTTCTCATGGACTTCAAAGAAGCAATCAATTGTTGCTTTGTCATCATGTGAAGCCGAGTATGTTGTTGTAGCCTCAACCGTGTGTGAGGCAATTTGGTTAAGAAATCTGTTAAAGTCAGTGTGTCATCCACAAGTGGAATCGATTGTGATTCATGTGGATAACGTGTCTGCAATCAAACTTGCAAAGAATCCTGTTCAACATGGAAGGAGCAAGCACATTGATACCAGGTTCCATTTTCTAAGGGACCATGTGAAGCAAAAGACAATTGAGCTTGTCTATTGTCACACAAAGGAACAAGTGGCTGACATCTTCACTAAGCCACTACCAGTTGAATCATTCCGGTTATTGCGTGAAATGCTACGCATGAAGGCATTTTGATTTGAGGGGGCGTGTTGGAAATTCAAATAAAAACAGGCTGTAAAAGGTTGCTGCTAGCTGGTAGTTTCTTTACAGGTTGTATCCACACATGCTGCAACTACAAAGACTAAAGTTTCCTCCATGTGCTAGCTGAAAGTGTGTTGAAAGACAGCAGAGATGTGAGCTGCTGTGTGCAAGCTGTCCAAAGTTCACATGATCTGTTTGCATGTGTTGTCTTATTGTTTATTCATTTTCTGCTTGTATAAATAAGCCTCCTTGCTAGGCTTTAGAATGATCCCATCCGAATCCCACTTCCAATTGTGAAGAAGCTTGTAAGCTTTCTTATTCCATCAGTTTGTAAACCTTTTGTCATATATCAAAGTCCAAGTGTTTTGCCAAAGCTTGTTGCTTCCCTCCTTTCTCTATTTCTTTCTTTGTCCAATTTTATTGAGAGTGCAAAGTGAGAGGTGTGATAGAGTTTGTAAACTTATCACCCACATATTTTGGTATTGAGTAAGCAAACTCCGGTGAATACCAACAGGATCCCCATCGTTTCATCCATTTTTCTGGGGAATTAATATTCGCAGTGGCGTATCCATGAACAAGTATCATCGATGCCAACTTTTATATGATGTATTTGCAATCGTGAGATGATCAGCTATAAATAGGTTTTCTTTTTTTTATTATTTTTTTATTTTTTGGGTAAATTAAGGTTCATTAAACCAAAGGGATATGCACAAAGGCCACCGCCAAAGACCCAAGCCGAATGCTAACATAACCCTGACCCATACACAACCCTAATGCAGAAAACAGACACAAAAAAAAAAAAAAAAAAAAAAAAAAAAAAAGCAAAAATCCCAGCTGAAGGAGGCCGACGGTACCCGCCGCCGTAACCCCATGTAAATCAGCTTGCCAGAATCGCCTGATTTCCCTCACAACAACTGAGCCATCCTGATGAACATCTCTTAAGTAGCCATGTAGTTTTAGCACTACAGCAAAACGAACAAATTTTAGTTAGGGAGATTACTTATCCCACTCTTTCAAATTTTTAATATTTTTTTATCAAGTATTAGTGGTGTGTAGAAAATATTAAAAAATTAAAAATGTGTGAGATAAGTAATTTGGAATGTGTGAATATAATATTTTTTAGTTATTATTAGCTAATTCATTATTATTAAGGGAGGACCAAAACTACTACAATAACTTAAAAGAAGTTTTAAACTGATGCATAAGAACTCAGCACTCTATCTACTAGAATATTAATGGCTTATTTGGCAAGTGCTTTTAAATGATTGAAAACACTTTTTAGATAAAATGTTTTTGAGTTGCAAAAGTACTTGAAGTGCTTCATGCTAAAAGCAACAGTTACGTGCTTCTTGTTGGAAGCACTTAAAGTGATTTTCCAAAATTAATTTACATTTTTACTAAGATTTAGTTCCAAAAATATTTTATCTAAAAATAATTTCAATCATTTAAAAAAACTTGTCAAACGAGCTATAAACCTCACATTGAAACTTGGAATGAAAATATTTCTATTAGAAGTTGGACCAAAATCCATGTCATGAAAAAAAACAAATGGGTCCATCATTAGCACATGCAAGGCCCAATTACAATCTCTCCATCATGCAGATAACTCCTCAGAGTGAGCGAGACAGTGTGGTGCAGAAGAAAGGGAACCAAAAAATGTCATCTTTATCGGCTACTCTGAATCTCTTAAGACCCTCTCTGGCTCCAACGCCACCGTCCGTAAGGTTCTTTGGTGTGCGAAACTCTGCCTCTTCTTATTCTACTTCCCGGAGACTCGCTCTCTTTCAGCTCGGCTCTGGTAATTACTTCCTCCAAAGTATCAAAAACCCAACGTTTGTTTTTCCATTACATTTTGTGTTTGTGAAATTTGTATTGATTAATTGTGGGTTGTTTTGTTTTATAATTTTATACTGTAGCAATATAATTTAACTCAAATGTGCAATGTATATGTGTTATGCTGAGTTCTGGGTTGAATAATGTATGATATAATAACAGAGTGGAAATTTTTTGCTTCATTTTTTTCTTCTTGGGCAAAATCAATGTAGTTATATCAAATTTCGTAATGCGGTTTTCGTGAAGATTAAGAAAATTCAAATTATACGAAAGCTTCAGTTTAACTGTTATAATTCTGAAGATAAATTGCCCTTGCAAAAGTTCCTATATCAAAAAGAAAACCTTTAAATTAATTCCAATATAAAAATAAATAAAAGGTGTGACCTTTACATGATTCAGCATAAATTAATATGTATAATGCTTCACCTTTGCAAAACTTTTACCCCTGCTTTTCATATATTTTGACTACTTTTAATCAAGTTAAGAATTTTAACAAAGAATTGGGGGCACTCGGTTTAATTAAATTTACATTTTGATTAACAAAATATATCAGTTGGTTATAATATGCCTTGCGCTTATGATTTGGGGTGGTTTTCCAGCTCTACCTCAATCACAACTGTTAGGTGCAAAAGCATCTGAGTTGCTAAGAGGAGAGGGAAACCCTTTAGAGGCTGCCCCAGTTGCGAATTTGGCACAGGCAGGCACCGCTATTGCCAAGGAAAATGCACTGGAGTGGGTAAAAAATGACAAAAGAAGAATGCTTCATGTTGTTTATCGTGTTGGGGACTTGGACAAGACTATAAAGTATGCCTCTTTTTAGTAGAAGAAATATTGCTTCCGTATCGCATAGTTCTTTGGACAAGACTATAATCTTTTGTGATGCAGATTCTATACTGAATGTTTGGGGATGAAGCTGTTAAGAAAACGTGACATACCTGAGGATCGATATTCGAATGCTTTTCTTGGATATGGACCAGAAGAATCCAATTTTGTGGTTGAACTTACATACAGTAAGTATTTTATAAGTAATTCTGTGTGGTTCAAGATTATTTTGTAGTTTAATAGAAAGACTTTTTATATTGTATGCTTTCATATGAATGTGAATTGCATTATGTTATACTCGTAGATTACGGAGTGGACAGGTACAACATTGGGACTGGTTTTGGCCATTTTGGCATTGCAGTTGAAGATGTAAGTTCTTTTTTTCTTAATATCGCTGTGGTTTTTCTCTCATGACAAACTACTCTTATTTGTGCGTTTTCTTGGTTTGGATTTTTAATTCATTGTCCATCTACTGAACTATAAAACCAATGAATTTTACTTACAATTACAATCAATACTCTTCTCAGCTTTAACTTTTAAGCTGAATGAATTCATTGTCTATCTTTTTACCTTCTGTCTTTCTCTTTTGTCCGTTCAACATCCATACTCTTCAGAAGCTTTGGAGCATTATCTCTTACAATTTTCATTTCTTATCCATAATGTTTTATATGCCAAATTTTTTTTTTCTTTAAGTTAATGCAAATTTTCTGTAGGTAACCAAAACCGTGGAACTTATAAAGGCAAAGGGAGGGAAAGTTACCAAGGAACCTGGTCCTGCCAAAGGTGGCAGTACAATAGTTGCCTCTGTTGAGGATCCCGATGGCTACACTTTTGAGCTTTTGGAGAGAGGGCCTTCACCTGAGCCCTTCCGTCAAGTGATGCTTCGTGTAGGTGATCTTGACCGTGCTGTTAACTTTTATAAGAAGGTGAGATGTCTTAAACGAATTTCTTTTATTTTTTAAATATTTGTTCCTGGTTCGGCTTTTTATAGGTAAGCTTTCCTGAAGCTTTGACCATTGTGTTTTTTTTAACATGAAGGCTTATGGGATGGAACTTCTCCACAAGAGAGATCAACCTGAATACAAGGTAACTTCACACATGCGACCCACTGACAAATTCCCTTATAGGCTGATACGCATGATACCCCTGGAATAATAGAAATTGTGACGGCAACATGCCATCACAAATTTGCCATTTATGTGGCTGTTTGTGTAGGCGTGATATGGGCATGAAGACCCTTATGAATTGATGTAGTGCCCATACATAGTGATACCACTTTGTATTTAGAGGCCATCTTTTGTGAGCTGTCTCTTCATTATTTTCACAATGCTTCTTGCTTCCTGGATTCTGGGTACATGGCAGTAGTGGTTTACTGAAGGCATCCCATAACATACCTTCTTGCCGGATTATGATTTTGAGCCTGACTGCTACAGGGGCGACTCGTGAAATGTATTCCCACCAATTAGAATCCTAGAACTAAGTGTCGCTTTATATAAATTTAGCCGCTGTTCTAACAACTTTGCTCTAATGTCTGCCCGCAAAAAATACATTTTATGAACTCGCCATGGGGTTTAGCCGTGTCCCCTTCCCCTATTTCACCCTTCTAACATATCTGATTAAATAGAAAACAATTGTTTAGCAGTATTTGCATTTTGCTACTCTACCTAATAGCTGGTTCTGCTTGTTTACCAGTATACTGTTGCCATGTTGGGCTACGGTCCTGAAGATAAGAATGCAGTGCTTGAACTGACGTACAACTATGGGATCACAGATTATGACAAGGGAAATGGTTACGCGCAGGTATTTACAAGATATTTTATTTCTCAAAGCACTGATATGAGCTATACCAGTCTGCTCACCAATTTCCATGTTACTATACGAAGGATACTAAATCTGAATCCCAAATTGTAACAGATCGCAATAGGCACAGATGATGTTTACAAGACTGCAGAAGCAATCAAACTAAGTGGAGGGAAGATTATTCTTGATCCTGGGCCTTTGCCAGGTATCAACACAAAGATAACTGCTTGCCTCGACCCTGATGGCTGGAAATCGGTATGTCCTGTCCAATTTAGTTGCATTTTTTCTTAGTCGGTAGTTCTGGTACCAATTAGAGTGCAAACTTCAATATTGAAATAGCACATTGGTGTTATGTCATATTCGTACCTTTTATATGAATCATTATCATATTTTAAAGCAGATGATCCGATTTTTTTGCCCTCTCCAATTTGCAGGTCTTTGTTGATAATGCTGATTTTCTGAAGGAATTAGAGTGAAGAAAAGCATCACCAACAACTAAAAAACTGAGCCTGTGGAAGATTTGTAACAATTTTGACTGTAAATTATCCTAACCTCCTAACGCTACTTATCTTGAAGCAGCCATGAGAGAACGTATCCAAACTAAACTTATAGATACATTACTTTGTATAAGATTGTAACAGTTGTTATAAGTTCCATTCTTTCCCACCGAAACGTAGATATAGAATTGGATTCTGTGATAACTGCACATTGATTGTTGTGAAAAACTTAACACGTTCAATTTTACATAAATCCAAATTTTAACCTTTCTTGGAATTGTGTTATGTTGGCATGAAATTCAACATATGACGGATCCCTTCAGTCCACATATGTTTGTCACCTTGACTTCTGCATTCAAATTCTATTGTCCTTTCAGCTGTTTTTATCCCAAAGTATGCCCTTGGTTTGCTGCCATCTTCTCTTTCCCTGCCGGGCCAAGCTGGGATGTCACAGTAGACTCCAGAGACCACACCTGCATGCATCACAGCATGGCATCACGGTTGACAGGGTAGAAGTCGATGTAAAATGTTTGATCAAGGTATGAGAATTTTCTTACATTTCTTCTTTTTTGTAAATGTTCCCGCAATATGCTTGCTTTTCATTTTGGCTAAAACCTGTTATTATTCCACTTCTGAATAAGTATTTGGTGATGCTGTTTTAGAAATAGTAGGTCTATAACTAATCAGTAAATCTTCAACTTAGAAGTTGATACTCTTTTCCAAATTTTCGTGTATCGGGTATTTTACCTGCCCATTTGAGTTAGTATTGAAAGAAACCCTCTTCCAGTGAAGAGCACCTGCATTCATAAGTTACATGATGGTGTGTTCAACTTATCCATGAAGTTATTTAGCTGAATTCATTATTGCTGCATTAGCCTGTCTTAATAATGCCGTTTGTTTACCTTTCCTCGTACGTTTAAGGAGCTCCCCTCCATTTGAGACAAAGTTCAATGCTGCATTTGATTGGTTGCCTTCACATCTCTCCTCGGCCAGAGCAACAGTTGTGCCACCGTACTCCTTTTGCAGCCTCACTTTAAGTGTGGCTGCTCCGCGTAAAGCTGTGCATTGATCATAAACTGCTTTAGCTAATTCAATCAAGTTTAACCGTTGCTAATATGTTTTAAACTAGCGTGCGCTTAACTTTATTGAGTTGTGCGTTTGATTAGCTTAAAATTTGGTTGAATATAAGTGTAAAATGATGGAATTTAGTACATCTTGTAGAGTCTTAGTGTACCTGTAGCTGCTCCTGCAGTTAAGGTCATGATATCTCCATTAGTCCTTGCATTAACTGCAGAACTGACAACTGATACAATATGATCATGCTCGGCTCCCATTTCCTCCGCAATCTCAATGCAACGTGAAGCGACTAGAGCTGCTGCGGATGCTAGCGCAGCTGATGTTTCCATCCTCAATTCGGATACTGGAGTTTTCTGGTTGGCAGCTGATGTTTCAGGAAATACAGTTGAAGCTGCAATTGATGCTACAGCAGCAGCAACCCCAGCCACAGAAACAGCAGCGTGCAACTGCGCATTTTGGGTTCGGATTTCATGCTTCTTCCTCTCCTTCTGATCTTTTAACCATCTGCCCATTGTTTTCCCTCGCAAAATGCTCTTGTATAGCTGCAGGGATACAACAATGAGGAATTGAAAAATTACGACGACAAATGATTTTCGGACACCCGCTTTCCTTCTGGCCTTATTTGTATTCTGGCATTTCGATTGAATTAATCAAAAGAGAATCAAGGGACATAAATAAAGAGGCCCACGTAAATCACAATTACGCTTCAAGAAGTTCATGTACAAGATAAGTTGAGTGGTGAAAACTGAAGTTACCCCATGATTGAGAAATTGTTGCTGGCTGGAAAGGAAGTCTGGGTGGAGTGCTTGGTGTAGTAAAAGTAACTCCTGCACATATTAACCGGCCGTAAAACAGTAAAAGTTCCTGGCTCTGATTGTGCCCCATTATACAATATTTAAATCGAAAAAGAAGCTTTTTGTAATCCAGTATTAGTAATTTAGTATATATGATAAAATAGTAGGTACGAAATTATAGATTTGGTTTAAAATCATGCACTCGTGCACATAAACACATGATGATGATTCTGCACTCCCAAATCAAATTTCAAAAATGATACAACCTCCAAGCAGACATTCATCAATTATACGCGTTAGTTGGTCTAGCAGCACCAAGTTTTTTCTTTGTTAGACGAGGTCATAATTCATCAACTAAATCTCATAAACGATAATTATTAACTATTCACAAGTCAGCCCTCAAAATTCATAGTTACAAAAAACACTTAAAATCGCATTTTATAAGGAAAAACTTTGAATATTAATTTTTATTATATGCGAGTACTATTAGTTGTCAGAAGCATAAAACAATTATGTCGTCTACTCATATCATATTAACTAATGGTTCTATCACGTGCATGTGTTATGGTACCAGACGATCATTTTTCAAGAGAGAGAGTGAGAGTACCTTCATCTCTTCACTGTCTCTTGGCGAAACTGGAGGGCTAACTCCACTGGGTAACTGCTGAAGCAGCCAAGATGTTCATAAGATCACATCTAACACAAATATAGATTATGGCATAATTTGCTAAGTATAATTAAGAAACTAATTAACTTACACATTCCATTAAACGCATGGAACTTCTGTCGTGTGATTCAACACCATCATCAGAACTGAACGCTGACTTGTCAAGGGTCTTGGAAGCAACGTTCACACGTGTGTGGGAAAGAGCTTTGGAGATCTCCATGGCTGAGAGACTCCACGATCTGGCCAGAAACTCCATCGACTCCGTTGGAGTTTCTGGCGGTGGTGCAGACGACCCCGCTGTTCCGCTCACTATACCGCCATTTTCGTCTATGTTCTCCAGCCCGCCATGCAGTAGTCCGTTTGTTGAGCATTTCAAACTGCAGGAGCTCACTATCACCATAACACACAGAGTTAGATTACACCAGTCATTCTTTAAACAAATAAATAAATATTATGAAGTTTCTGTTTTCTTACTTTTGAAGCCAAATAAATATTTTCATTCAGTGGTGACTCATCGGAAAAGCTCTGGTATTGGGAGCATCTCAGTTGAGCTATGAAAGCAAGAGTGAATGAATGAGATGATGAAGAGGAGGGTGTACTATGCAGTACCTATTTAACATGGCTTTGCAAAAGTAAGTTGCATGCTTTTTTTATTGAAAAATACTTGACTTCTCACGGCAATAAGGCTAGTAATATTTTATGGCACGGAAGTTGAGTGGTAAAAAATAACGAGCGCAAAATAGTGAAGATGATAATGATTCGTTGGATGTGCAAGCACATTAGGATGGATAAAATTAAGAATGAAGATATTCGAGGTAAAGTAGGAGTGGCAACAATTGAAGATAAGATAAGAGAAAATTGGTTAAGGTGGTTTGGACACGTGAACCGAAGATCTACAGCTTCAGTTAGAAAATGCAACTATGAGACAGATGCTCGGAACAAAAATGACAGAGGAAGATCTAGAAAAACTCGGAAAGAAACTTTAATATATATATATATATATAGCATTTGAGCTAACGGAAGATAAGACACAAAATCTAATGAGATAAGGCTGGTTCATGTTGTTGTTTGTGTTTGCCAGTGACTTCAATATACATATCAATTCTCATTTGCAATAACAAATGAATGACTCCATTACACGTTAGGAATGGACATTTCTTCCTTGCAGACAAATAGTAATTTGACAAGTGTATTTCTTTTTTTCTTTTTGTGTTACTATATGACTTCAGTAAACATATCAATTTTGATTTGCAATTACGGATTGATGACTATTCAGCTAAAACAAGCCAAACAGTTCTTATTTGTTGTGAAAAACGTTACTAATTTATTAGTAATTTTAACATTTTATAAAATCAACCACTTAAAATAAAATCTACAAAGATAAAATAAAGTGTAAAAATCATTTCGCTACAAATTCAAAAAGACACAAATAAAGCTGAATAATATTCATCTTTTGTCGCCACTTCATTATTCCTTCTCCTTTTCCTCATTTCAGTGCTTTATTATGCATAAATAGGCAAAGATCCATTTTCAGAGCGGCCATTGTTCATCATTACCAGAGTTTCCTTTTGTCACCATTATCTTCGTCTTATAGTTATATACGGGGCTGACGGGCCCTTGACAATACAGTGCCCTCTGGATTTCAAGAACAATTTATATGATATAAATATATTATCACGTAATGTTCTGTGTAATAAAACAAAAATATATATAAGAAAATTACGTATGTCTTTATTTTATGGGAATTTTAATGAAAAAAATTCGGTACTGTTCACTTTAACGAAAAATCATATTTTTACATTAAAAAGTCAATCCTAATATTATTCACTTTACTCTTTATTTTATTCTTATTATTAAAACTCAAAATTTTCAAACTATTTTCATTAACTTTTCTTTATTTTATTGATATAGAACGCGAGCAATACACCTGTGTCCATTCTCCTGAATTTGTGCGATCCATGGGCCATGGCTGCCACGTCCACCAGGCCTATAATCATGAAATCTAGGGAATATTCGACCAAAATATATTATGCATGAAATCTAACAAATGTGTGCCCTACATTAAGGTTTAAAGTAAGTCTGTGTATAAAGCTGCTTCTTCACTTTCTCTTGTATATAACTTTTGTAGTCAAAACAACAAAACCAAAACACTTTTACTGTGTCCGAGTAGCGTAAAGGGTTCTTTCTACGAGAAATTGTTCGGTGGAACTGTCACGCAAAGCATAATACTGCAATTATATTATAATATGTGTCCGATTTACTAATTTTATACTTTAAGCATACAAATCTATCATCCATCTACATTATAAGACATGAACTAATAACGAGATGCTGCCGCAATCACACCTGTGTTTCATTTTTGTACTTCCACTCCAACAACCCTCGAAGGCCCACGCAGCAAGAGCAATTGGCATCAGTTTAAGATCCAACTTTCATCATTACTTAGAGCCTAATCATGTCTTAGTTGTGACTTGTGAGAGTGAGGACCAACAATTCCGAGGTCCCCCACTCCTACATCCAATAATTTATTTAAAATTCGTGATTAATTATCTTAATCCAAATAATCATACCCCCTGATCTCTCAGCCTCACGAGGCTGATACACTTACAATTTCCGACCTATAAAATTCAAAAGTGGCAAGTAACAAATACAAAGGGTTATAGAACACCACAAGAAGTCCATGAACAAAAGAGGAGAGACAAAATTTAGCCTTGTAGAATGGATGGAGAAAACATCTTTCAGACATTTGTATTTATGTGATGTAAGAAAATGCATCGTAAGTTCATAACTACGATTACGATTGGCTTCGGACGAATTAGGGTTCGTTACTGCTTCAAATTATGGACTGCTTAAAGCTTCAATGAGATCAAGACGCCCAATGAAGTTCTCCCATTCAAGATCTGAAGCAAAGAAAAATAACATTAATGAGCATTTTATGTACAAATGAAACACAGCAACTCCAAGAGGGACATTTCCCTTGAGAAAAAGGTCAATGCAGTCGATACCTGAAATACTAGTTTACTCTTTTTTCCAGGTTCTGAAGGACCTGGTGAACATACCCAGGGCTTTGATCCGAAAAAGATTTAGAACAGAAAGCAACTCAATCCTGAATTGAATGAAATACATGGTCAAAACAACCTTGTAACGCCGCAAAAGAAAACGAAATAGTATGATCTATCTACCATCTATTATCAGAATAATGGAAAATACACTTTACACATCATCCACACAACACGATATGGGCTGTCATTTTTGCCACTGATGCACCCGGAAACTCCATTCTGTGGTGTGAAGTGCAAGCACATCCTGTGCGTTCAAGTTTTGCCAGTTGAAGTTTTCACATGTGTTATGCAATCTGACATGGGAGAAAACAAGCAACCCAAACTTCATGGCATTTGCTACCAAAAGACACATGCTCTGAGCAATCTCCTTCAGATCTATAGCTGAATAAAAAATAAAAAAAAACCAAGGCTGAATAGCTTGAAAACTATTTATGCAGTTTGGAGCGATTATCTTTCATTTGATACACAAAACAAATGTAAAGCATACAAAAGATAATTTCGCACGATAAAAATCCATACCTATTACTTTGCTGAAGAAATTTGGTTTACTGATGGCATCCAACTGCTTGAAGCACCATTTTGATTCCCAACTCTCCGGCCTATGTCTGCATTTTCAACTGGCCCCTCTGGTTTTTGAAAATGCCTTCTGAGAGAAAATGCAGTAGGTGGCATAGGTGCATTACTCGCATTCTGAAACAATTACCCAGTACAGCATAACATGAAATACATGAGTACATCTTCCGTGCAAACAAGAATATTGGAGGTGACTCGAGAGAGATACATGCAAAAGCAAACATTAATGGTTTACATTACAAGTTACTTACGTGTTTCTCAACAGGATTATTAGCACCCAAATTCTGGGCTGTTGAAGATCTATATTGCATATGAACATCTGGATGCGCATGATTGCTTGGCCGCTTATTTGCTGTGACCTCAGCTGGTCTAGGAACATCATGAATGCCTGAAATCCATAAATAAAACCTTAGACATAAAAAATATTTGATAAACCAACATTTTCTGGATAAACAGACTCCCCGAGAATGTAAGCAACAAGGCTCTAGTATACCAAAAGCTTTCCCTCAAGTGAAAACCGGAGTACTGGACCTTTACCTTTATGCCTCATCGCATCCGTAGGCACTGCTTGACCGCTAGGAATTTCTCGACCAGCGACAACTACAGGTGGCTGCGGTTTCTGAGATGAATTTAGAAGAAACAAAATCAAACGAGTAAGAATGATAACATCAGTACTTGGAAGGAAAATTAGATACATACATGGAACAGAACTTGGACCTGTGCATACAATTTTAGCAGCAGTTAATGGGAGAAAGTAATAAAAGAAAGTGTAATGAAGTACTAACAGATGATTGACCCTGAGTCCTTGTCTGCTGTGCCTGCTGGTATTTTAGAATTGTCCAGTCAAATATATAGTCAAACTCGTATCCTGTGAGATATGGAAAGCAATTTTAAACATCAATAGACAAAGACTGCCAGTTCAAAATACACCTAGATCAGCACATTTAATAATTCTATACACTTTTCCATGAAGCAGAAGCTCATTTGTACAAAGCACTGGCATTTTTTACAACTATTTATAGGTTGCAGGAATATAGAAATGGTGAAATAAATATCATACCTTCACGGCTAAATAAGTCACGAAACAGGCGCTTCAAGAATGCATAATCAGGGCGTTGATCAAATGTTAAAGAGTGGCAATAATGGAAATAGGATGCAAACTCCACAGGATGCGACTTACATAAGACCTGGAAAACAAATGTGACATCAGTACATAGAGAATACAAATTTAAAGACACAAAAAGGATACATCATAAATTCTTGCTCAATTGTAATGAATCTCTGGAAAGCTTCCAAAAGAAATTAGGAAACCCCCCCTCTTGAAAAGAAGGAAAAAAAAAAAAAAAAAAAAACCAAACAAACAAACAAACAAAACAATCAAAAAAAAAATTTGCAAGCTGTTTTATAATTGCATACTTCTTGATAAGAATTCTTAAAATCTGAACTCATTTAGATTATATGGGACAATTCCCGGTAAACTCTATATGTAACATAAAATGGGAAAGAACTAAAACAAATGCCTAATGCAAAATTTTAGGAGATGAGATGCAACAGAAACAGCATTCAACAAGTCAGCCATGTTGGATTGAGTTCTAAACATGATCCTTCTATCCACAAGATGCACATACCTCAATGGGAGTTGATAGCTTCTTCTCACAAATCTTATCATATTTTTGCTTCTTTGTTGCAGCTTTTAGACCCTGCCAAGGAAGGCTAAATGCAGAAACCAATTAGTCAGCCAGGCCAAAAAATAGTATAGAGGAGTACCCAGATATCTGGTCAAAACATTGTGCGAAGAGTGCTTGTCATCAAAATGAAATTGCAATAGCCAATGCATCGGTTTCACCAATAAAAGTAAATCAGCAAGAATCCTAACTGGAGTGGAAAATAATTCAAAATATAAAATTCTCATTCAGAAAAGAGGTTTGACTTTATGGCATACCTTCCTCTTAAGAAGTACAGAAGAACATATCCAAGTGACTCCAAATCATCCCGACGACTCTGATCTAGAACAATGAACCCAAAAAATGAGAAAAAAAGATAGTCAAAACATTTCGAACAAAATTAAATAAACAGTACATCTCTACTTACCTATTCCCAAATGGGTATTGCAACTAGCATAGCGTGCAGTTCCTGTTAAGCTTTTGTTTTCTCTGTATGAGTTTGAAAAAGAAAAGATAACAACACATACTGAGAAGCGAAATACTGTTGAGAGTAGGAAAAGCTCATTCAAGACACAAAATTCCCACTAGATTTAAGTACGAACCAAATTATGGAATTTTACCTGTACGGAATATGCCGGTGTGTATTTTGGTCCCGAAATCTTTTTGCAAGTCCAAAATCAATAACATAAACCTGATTAATGTGTATTTAACAATGGTTAATAACTGAGAAATCCTAAAAGCTTTATTGTTCCTGCAAGTTAGACGTTGAAGAGGAATGCATTAACATTACCTGATTTGCTTTCCTGCCAAGACCCATGAGGAAGTTGTCTGGTTTGATGTCTCTATGCAAAAACCCTTTAGAATGTACATATTCTATTCTAGTAATCTGCAATTGAATGAACAAAGGAATCATATTTACAGATCCGCAAACATTTAGCATTCAGTAATCAGGTGCGGGTTTTAAAAAGTGAGACGTTTTAAATTGCAACTGACGAAATAATATGGCAAGAATCTATGTAAGCAATCCATAAGACAGAAGCAAAACCGCTTTCCAACAACAACTAATTATATGCTTAACAAATTACAAGCTATCAAAGAGAATATTCTAGATTACCATCTGATCAGCCAACATTAAGACTGTCTTCAGTGAAAACCTCCTCCCACAGTAAACAAAGAGGTCTTCAAGACTAGGTCCCAGCAAGTCAATGACGAGGACATTATCATCCCTATCAAATCCCGCCCATCTTATGCTTGCAATACCACCTGAAGGGTCATAAACTCAAGTCATTATATATATGTGTGTGTGTGTATAGTGAAAATAAGATCCAAGGTGATAGCTTATGAGAGCACGTAGTTCCAAAAAAACACTACTTCTATTGAATCCTTACTTCCTCCCTGTAGAATTTTATAAAGCTTTGCCTCGTACAAAAGTTGTGGATGTTTTGTCTTGTTATTTTCCTGCCAAAATAAAAAATAAAACAAATTACAACCAATCGCTCGTACATCATACTATTCGTCTGCCTGAAACGAGAACAGGTAAATGAGAACAATGCTTCCCCACTCAAAACACATATCCATTCTAACCGCAAGATAGAACTTCCGACTCCAAAATGCACCCAAGTTATGAAATTCTTGAAATTTTCGAGACCTACAATACTATCCTAACATGCACTCGCCCACCTGTACCAAAATACGTAGAACCTTACCTAATTCTGACACAAGATTCCACTAACAATCACAAGAACCATAATTTGATCAGCTCAAAACGCAGGCTATTAATTTACATACAATGCGGACTCAATTTTTTCCCGGAAATTATTTTCCTCGGAAACAAACACTCAAACTATCCTATCACATTTGAAAAATGAATGGGATCGAATCGAACTTACAATCTTCGCCGCCAAATTCTCGCCAGTCACTATATGCGTTGCTGAAAAACAAAAAAAAAAAATCAAAATCAAAATTTACAAAAATTAATCAGTAGGATCAAACATAACAAAATTTTAAAGAAAAAAGGGGTAAAAATAGCTAATTGAAGGATTCACAAACCAAGATACAATTCACCGAACGATCCGCTCCCAATTTTGCGACCTAATTTGTACTTCTCTGCGATGATTCTCTCCATAAAAAGCCCTAATTTCTCTGGAACTGATTGAATTCGTCGACGGGGAGAGAGAAAGATAGGGTTTTTAGGGCGAGGTTCAGATCGAATAGCAGAGACGACGATTCGGTCGAATGCGATTTGGGGATTTTCAGGGAGGGAGAGAGGCTGAAAAAATAAACGAACAGGACTCGGATGGCGGCCACAGATGAGAGAGACGGGATCTAAAAAGTGAAAGTGAAAAAGAGTTGGGCGAACATGGTAATTACGGATCTAGAAATGAGGGGTAAATTTTGGTATTTGTGAAGTTTTGGGGGGGGTATTGAATTCCTGAAAGTATTGGGAAGTGCAGCTACGATGGCGGTAAATTATTTTCAAAGTGTTGGAAAATAAAAGTCGGTTGTGGAGAATTTTTTACCCGAATAAAAAAAAGGTAAAAAGTAAAAGTTGGTTCTTCTGTTGGTCAAAGAAACGAAAAGTTTTTTTTTTTTTTTTTTGAACAAAGAAAGGAAAAGTAATTAACTTACCAAATTTTGTTTTTGTTGGAACTAATTACCATATCTCTAATATCTCTAATCTCTAATCTCTAATATTAGAAAGCCAGCAATCAATTTTGGTGTCTCAAGGTTTCACCAAAAAAAATTGGACTATAAACCCCCTCAAACAAAAAAAATCTAAAACTAACTGAAAATAGTACAAACAAAATAACAGGGATAATTTTGTCATAAAAAAATATATTAACAAAATAGTAGAGGCAGTTTCTTCCCACTACTTGCGAGAAGAAAACGCGTAATGGAAGGAAACTGCAGTTTTCTTCCAACCGCTCCAACCGCACTAGCAGAAATACAAAGGAGTTTTCATCCCACTAATTCACTCAGAACCAATCGCACCAGCAAGTTTCATGTAAGCTTCGATCTTTCTCTCACTCTGTCTCAGTTACCCATTTGTTGTTCATCTGGATCTTGCTTTGATTAAGCTATTTGTGACTGAAAGTGTCGCCTTCATTGCCATCTTCTCCAGGTACCCAACTTCCTACGGTTCATTTATGGGCTTTTTTTTCTGTCATTAATTCGGAATGGTGACTATCTTACGCAATGGGTTAGATTGGGCATCTACAGAGCCACATAAAATCCCCAAGTCCAGTTCTGATTTTTCACTTTTTTCATTTTCTTTGTTCCTTGCAGATTCGTGAAAATGATTGGGACTACAGTGTCGAAGCATTGAAAATTCCATGGATTTACATGGTTGCACTGCTCGAAAATTTCCTCATTAGTTGCTTGGACTTTTGATTAGCATATATTTCAATTCTCACTCTTCCTGGAGATTACATCTACTTCAAGTCCCATGTACCTCTCCATAAGATCCCAGTACGTTTCTTTTCACCTCCATTTCTCCATTACCCTTTTGAATTTCTCCATTTTTTTTTTTTTTCTGATTTTGTTCTTGGGGTTTGATTCTTTAGTTTCATTTTACTGCTGGATTTTTTGTTCTCTTGAGTTTAGTCTCACCTTTTTATAAAACCCAATTGTAAGATAGTTCCTATGTTTGTGCATAGTTTTGTATTTCGACTGTATTATGATATGGGTTTTTTTTCCTAATTTGCTCAATTGTGAGTTGAGGTTCTGCATGTGCAGCTTCTTATGTATGTACCCTTTTTCAGCTGTAAAGCTACATGATTAATCAATTTTAGGTCTGTCGATAAGCACGTTTCTGCTGATTTTTGTTTTCTTATTGATAATTGGGTTTACATTTGAAATACTGTGTATGTAGATTGGTATGAATCAGTGGCCATACTATTTCAGTGTTCGTTGGGGATGAGAGTGGAATCATAAACCGAATAGCAGGAGTTTTCGCCACGAGACAAGGACAAGGCTCTCTTTACCATAGTTGTGTCCACCACATTCTCAAGCACTCTCTCTCACCGTCCCCACTCCACCTCTAATGCCGTCGTTTTTGTCGCCTTCGGCCGCCCCTTCTCCCACTACGATCGCATCCTCCGAAGACTCAGACTCGCTCTCTCCATAAAGAATTCTAGTGGTAATTTAATTTAATTTTTTTTTATTTTTCATTGCATAAATAAAATTGGGGTTTCTAAATTTCGGATGTGTTTTTTGGAACAGTGTTGCAATTTTAGGTCTGTTGATTTCTTCATTCGTGCACTGTGCGTAAATCAGCTTCAAAGGGCAGTCAGGTTTCTTCTTTATTGTCATGTGATTGTACAATGTGGTATACCTTTTTTATTTAACTATATTCAATTGGGTGGTGCCTTATTCTTGCTACTCTGTAAGTGAAGGAGAATGTTTTGCAGAGGTGCAATGAGTCACAAACTTTTTAGGCTGTTTGGTTGGTAAAGATAGCATAGTATGCGAGAAAAAAAACTGGGAAATATAGTAGTAAGTGGACATGAAAAAGATCATGATTAATGAGACTAAACCATTAAAACAGAGCATGATTAAAGAGGCCATGATTTATTAATGGAACCATGACATTACAAGTTAACTTTATGTTTTTGGATGTACATATTGTTTATCTTTTGTTTTGAATCAATGTATCAAAAAGTACCAGAATTTGGTCATGATATATTGAAGAAATGTAACCTACGTCGTATGATTAAACATTAACATTATTTCGTTTACACATTTATCAAATACATTTAAAAAATTTAAGAGCGTCCAGCACCTGTGATAAATAGAAGGTCTTTTGAACGTGCGTATGAAATGATGAGGTTATGCAATGGTACAAGATTGGCTTGCCATGGAGCTTACAATAATCTAATTGATGCCGAAATCTTATCTGGACAATTTGCTGGAACTAGAGTGTTTTTACCAAGAATCTCTTTAAAGACCACAGAAAGTGCAGGACTCCCATTCGAAATGATGAGAAAACAGTTTCCAGTGAAATTGAGTTTTGCACTAACTATAAATAAATCACAAGGGCAGACAATACCAAATGTGGGTATTTATCTACCAGATCACGTATTCAGTCATGGACAATTGTACGTGGCTTTATCAAGAGGAGTTTCAACGTCTACAACAAAAGTCTTGGTAAAGAAAGAAGAGTTACACGGTAATGAAGGAGTCTTCACAAGAAATGTTGTGTACAAAGATATTTTGCTTCCCTCGAATTCAACATAAGGTTACATTCTTTCTTTTAATGTTTAATTCCCTTTTTCAACTTTTAATGCACTTCAATTACAAATAATGCTAATATTTGATTTTAACCAAACGCATTAAATTTTCAACAGGACGGAATGATATGAGTTCATTATATTTTTTGGTGTCATGTGCATCAAGGTCAATTAAATTTCTCGGATTGTTTTTATACTTTTTATTTTAACTTTTAGTTGCAACTAAATTATAAGGATCTTCTCTGTTATTTATTACTTTTTTTTTTTACATATTCTAGACAAAATACTTTAGATTCCGCCTGTATTATTAGAGATGATAATCGCCTTTATTTTATGTTTCTATACTTTGAACCAATCCTCGCATATAAATACATCTAAAATGTGTAAGTTGCGTGTAGCGTGCCATGATTTAAAAAGTGTTTTTCGCACGTGCTTGAGAACACCGTAATAGGCATTGCTGCATGTGAGAGAGTATCCATGTCAACAACTTCAATTTATTGCTTCCAATTAGGAGCAGTCATCTTCTACATTTCATACCTCACCTCCAAACTTGGTATCATACTTTCTAAAGCATATAAATTGACAACCACAATGGAACAAAACAAACATAATACACATTTAGAGGCGCGTAGCGCCCGTGATGCAAAAATGCCTCTTGCACGCACGTTAGTGCGTGCAGAGAGGCTAGTTAATTAATTAAGAGAGAAGACAAATAAATTAGTTCAAGCCTTTGAAATATTGTATAATATTTGGTTTTTAGAATAGATGACGGACCAAAATGTTTGAATTTGGACTGACACTTGCGTAATGTTTAAGGGAGAAATTTAGACGATAATTATGTTGTTTTCTCTAATCATACGTTGTTTAACAAGTATATTTTTTGTCAATCCAAATTCAAAGGCGAAATATTTTAAATTTGATTATCTCCAAAAGGCGAATATGAATCAAATTATTGCTAGTCCATTATGAGGTTAAGCCTACTCTCTAGATAATATCATTTGTTAAAAAAAAAAAAAAAACAAATATATATTTTGGAGTTTGGTAAAGTAATTTGGCTGTTATGATGTTGCCTACACATATATCTAGTTGCATCTCATTGCATAAACCATTACGGCAACTCTCATAGTAACAGCAGTTAGGTTAAGTATTTTTTTCTTTTTCTTCTACCCCTTTTGGTAGGATTTTCTTTTGCTAGCCTTATTGCTCGATCCAATATATTCAAGATTTTTTTGTGAGAAGTAGGGTCGGGTTCGGTTCAAATCGGTTTGATTTTTTTGTCAAAATTGGGATCGAACTGAAATTTTGGTTTGTTCGGTTCTGTTCATTTTTTTTTTCGGCTTAGGTTTTTTTTCGATTCGGTTCGGTCTTTGTATTTTTTATTCGGTTTTGAAATTTTATCTTGCACAAGCAGAAAGTACGCCAACCATGGCATAGCAATCGGGTTTCAAATTCGCCTTCAGGCAGTGGAGATGTACATTCGCATTAAAAGAATGTTTCAGATAAGCTGACACAGAGCTTTAACAATTACACCAAATCTGAATAGAGATATCTAGATTATGGAGGTACCTTTCTACCATAATAAGGGAAGAGATTAAATCTTTATGTGCATGTTCCAAATACCCACATTTTGCATGCAAACAGAGCAAACTGGTTTTAACAGAAACACCGAAGTCGAACCCGGTTTTCACCACAAGGGTATGAATGTTCAGACCCAATTGGAAGTCCGATCGCCTCGCACACGCTTTCAGATGCAGAAGCACCTCCTTGTCAGGATTCATCAGATGCACAGCCAAAGGTTACAAGCCCTTAAATCAAAACCTCCCATTTTTTCTAATTGACAAACCCCTTCCTCACCCATTAGATTATTCCAATGGACAACAATAGTAAGCATTACTATCAAATATTAAGGGGGTAGGGTTTACCTTTCAGACTGAAAGAACCACACTGTTTAAGTAATAAAAATATTAATTCATAATTAATTATAAAAACTTCATTCGGTTCGGCTCAATTTAACAGTTTCAGTTTGGTTTTTTTTTTCCGACTTCAGTTCGATTTGGTTTTCGGTTTTTTGAACCCACCCCTAATGAGAAGTATATTCAAGTTTACAATACCATCAATGAAAATATGTCTCAATGTATGTACAACAACCCAAAAAGATGCACGAAATCCTCTATGCAATTTGCACCCATATCCCAGAACTCGGAACTCCATTGTGCACAACAAAGATCAAATAAAAACCCGGAGGAGCAATCTCCGCCGATGGCGGCGCGGCAACCTCCACCCGAAAAAATTCCGATTCCACATTTTCCAACTTCTTTGTGGCCAATACCAAAAGCCTTTGGCCCATGGAAAAACCATGTGTTGTGAAAGGTGGCGAGTACATGGTCACCTTCAAATCTGATTGGTCCACCTCAGCTTTCTTCAACTTGAACTCCAGCGCAATATATCCTCTGTAATTTACCATTTTACCATTGTAATTCGATGTTATCGCGGGTCGGTCCGAGATGAGTAAAGGGTCGAAGTATGGTGGGTAAAATTTCTCGACCCGAAGTTCTGTCGGATACTCTACGCCTGTGAAATTGTAGTAATAATTTGTGTTGCTCCCAGCCACTAATATTTTGCCATCTGGCAATACCGTAGAGGTTGAACCATACATTCGCGGTATCGTTGTCGCCTTTAGCTCTGTGAACCGTTGTTTTGTTGGGTTGTCGGGTCTATAAAGTAATGGGGTCGGGTTCGGATCCTGTGCGAAGTTCCACCCTGCTATTCCCTTTTTGGCCCCATTGACTATAAGGATATCACCTGTGGGAAGGATCAGCAGATCTCCCATAGTCCTTGGTGTTGGCATCATCTCCTTCTGCCATGTGGATTTTGGGTCCGTTATGTCAATCCTTCCACAATCTTGCAATGCAGTTACGAAAATACCCTTCTCAACTAACTTTCCAGCTCTAGGATCCGCTCCACCACATATTATGATTTCGGCCCGGATTGCTTTCGCGTTCGGATCACCGAGTTTTATGGGTAGCAATGCCGCCGTGCCGGATGCAGGGTGGTTTCGAGACCCACCGTCAAGGACAGGAAGCTCCCGGACAATCTTGTTGGTGGTCAGATTGAGTAGAATTGAACGCTTATTCGCAAATATTAGAATGTTGCCATCCGTGGAAAGGAAAACAAACGGGTAGAGATTATTCTCAAACGGGTCAGTGGTCTCTTGGAGAAATGGTAATGGAAAGTAAACATCATTAGAATCTCCCCCCTTAGGGATGTACTCGTAATTGAACATGCGCCGGCCTCCGACCAATATGAAATTGCCATTTGGCAATATTTGTTGGGTAGAGAACCTATTTAAAATGTAAAATACTTAAGATTAGTATCATCAATATTTGTTTTAACTTCACGATCAATAATTTACAGTTATTTATAAGCACATCAGATATAATTAACGAAAAACTAACAAATTAATATAACATACCATCTTGAGGTAGAAAGTGACATGGGGTGCTCCTCCCAGTCACAGGTATTGCATCCAGAGAGGTATCTCACAGACCTCCCTCCATCAGCCCATCCGCCAGTTTGCACAAGAGTGCCATTAGCTGATAATCCACCAGATGAGCACCATGTGTCTGTCAAGATCTGATTTAAACTAACAAAGACAAAGTAAGTTACAGCAAAACAAATGGAAATATGCACAAATATTTGAACTGGTTAAATTTTTTTAACCAAAAATTGAATCGAGACACTTATACAAACAACAGTTAATTTAGTGCCTTTATATATTTTGTTTAGTGTTCCTCGTTCTTTTTTTTCGATTTAAAGTTCGTAACCAATTCTCAAAATATTATGTAGTTATGAAACCCTTAAACTAGTTTATACATACCTTAAGCGGCCTAATAGCTGCAGTCTCAGTGTCAAATTCCACAGCATGAGCCCAGCAATCCAATTCATAGTCTTCTCCAGTTTCATCCCTCTCATCGAAAACCTGACGACAGTCTCCAGGAGGCAATGAGATCTCCGATGGACCGAAACCGGCAGCGTCAAACATAATGGCCTTGTTACTATTAGGCATGATGGTCATGTGCATGGCCGATACACCTGAATTCTCAGAAACCAATTCCCACCCACCTCTATACTCTCCCTCATCATACTTGTTGGCCCCATTTTCTTCACCACCTCCATTGTATATAACTATGAGTGGGGTTTCAAGAACCCTAAAGTTTCCAAACACATTAGGGTTTGTGAGATAGTAGGCGAAGAAGAAGAGGGAGAGAAGAGGGAGGGGTTTGAGAAAGATGGACATTATTTTACAGGGTGCGCAGAAAAAGGATCTTTGCAATGTTTTCTCTTATTTCTTGGTGCTCCTTTTATGCCTTCTAAAATTCTCCAGCTTTGAATGACTTTTTGGATGGTTGTGCCATCTCCAACTCACCTAATTAAGTACCAAATTTTTGGAACAGCTGAATTTCCCTTAGAAAAAAAAAGTGGGTATAAAAATTGGATGATGAAAGATGAGTCAAGATGGTGAGACATTTATCATCACCTCTTATTGAAGTCAAATTAAGGAAAAAAAAATAAAGTTTCGGCCTAGACAATTCTTCGACAGTTAATATAGTTAATGTGTAACATGACGGAGTTAGGAACAAAACTGTTTGTCGTACTAAGATTTAGTTTTGAGATTACAAAATTTAACTGTAAACACATTTGGGTTGGAATCAGCTTCGAGCTCATAGGAAGCACCAAATTAGATTTCAGTTGTCACCATGTTTCGAATTATTGGGTCAAATATCCAGATGAAAGGGATAAAAAAAGAAAGATAATAAATTAGAAAAGTAAGTTGTTATTGGTACTAACAATGTGCCGTCTAACACTGTTTGAAGTAAAATGTATTTATTTTAAAATGAGTGTGTGATAACTTTTTAAAATGCCAATAACAAGTATTTCTCATCGAAAATGAAAGAAAGAAAAAATTGAAGTCAACTCACACTTGCTTTGTGTTCAGGAAAACAAGCAGTTTGTACGGTCAAGTTGCCTTCTTGTAGATATATAAGAAAACTCAATATTCTTTTAACAATAGCACAACGATAAGCTGGCTATATATAAGCATTTTTTATTCAATATATTTTTGCAGAACGTGTTTAATAGGCTATATTAAATTAATGTCGTGCTTCGTGGGGCTACCCACCCTTGTCCTTCACTTCTTTCTTAGTGGTCAAAAGTGATATCCATTGAACACCCAAAACGGGCCAAACAGCCAAAAAAAGTTGGAAAAGTAAAAATAAGGTGGTGGTGCAAACCGGACAACTTAATAATCATCTTAAATATACAGACAAAATACTGTCATCACCATAAAAAGGTTAAACAAAAGAGGGGAAGGTGGGTGCTAAAAACACTACCAGACCTCAATGTGAACGTGTTTAAAGGGGCTACCTATCTTAATCTTTCCTTGACTACTAACAGAAGTGATTGATACTAGCTCTCCAGTTAACGTAGTGAGTCTGACAGAAGGTAGATTCGAAAGAGTCTCGATTGTGCTAGCCAGATTTATCTCACTTACCATGCTTGATTAATTTAGCTTTCTCATAACTGATAATTTTAATGAGAGAAAAGTTTAAACAACTCAAACTATAGATGAAGAAAAAACTCTCTCTCTTATTGCGCAATCTGCTAGATGGACTGAGAGCTAGTTTGAGATTGTTGTGGCGTTTTAGAACTGCTTATGCTATACTACAAGAATAAACAACTGTGAAAAAAGCAGATAAGTGTTTGATAAACTATAGTACTAAAAATGCTTTAGTAAAAAGAAGAGAGGAGGGTAGGATTATCAATATGACAGTTTTATTAATTGAAATTGTTCAGCTGCCTTTCATAAAAAAACGTTTTTTTAGAAAGCGTTTTTTTAGAAACATGAGTAGAACTACTTTTGTTTTTTGCTATTTTACACCCATGATATTGAAGAAACACAGAACTTTTATTTTTTCGTTTACCAGACACAATTTTATGTTAGCATATTTTTTTTAATATTTTTCACACTTACAAATTAATTATTATGAAATTTTTAATGTGCTGATATTTTTTAAACTATTTTGGTATTTTTAATGTGCTTTGGAAATTTTTAACTTTCTTATGTGAGATTAGTAACTAGTAAGATGAATCCTTTTTAACCTTTGGCTGGTGACAACAACCCATAACAGCGTGACATCATCACGGTTACGTCATCTGGCAATAATTGGTCCCTTCACGTGAAGATTAACGAATAGTTATTTAACAAACAAATATAATTAGGGCCCATGAGGCCAATAATTGAAGAACAGAGAGGCATATTGCACTAGTAGTGAGTTGTTAAGTATGAAAGTTTTTTTTTTTTTTTTTTTTTTTTTTCGGAAACTGGAATCCATGGAACTAGGGCAAAGAAGCCAAAGAGAAATACAGAGAGCCTACAGTAAGGCAAACAACTGAGAACTAGCAAAAGTAGAAAGTAGTGTGAGTGGTCCAAGGAGCAATGACGCCGCATCCAATGCTAAAAACGTCACCACTCAAACTACCGGGGTGTTTAGGGAGGGCATAGGAGTCCATCGTTACAAAGAACATGAACAAAGGAAGAGGGAGGTCAATCGACCCACATAACATCACACATCTCCCTACATTGTCTCAACGCAATGAAGTCCGCTGCACGATTGGCAGATCTTGGAACCCAAGACCAGCGACAAGTTTGGAAATTATCCCCCAGTCTTTTACATTTCATAAGAATGGGGAAGGCTTCCCAACTTCCAAGAGTTGAAGTATTCCTAAGGCTGGCAATGGATTCCATCGAATCAGATTCGATGATCACCGAGTTCCATCCCCGGGAGATACACAATTCGGATCCATGGAGAAGCACCTTTGCTTTCATCACCGTTGCATTAGATGCTTTGATGGAGTATCGACAAGCTGCTATAAAGTTTCCTTCCATATCCCGCGCAACCACACCTGCAAACTTGGCCTCCTATTGGCATCAACGTTGATTTTGATAAACTTAGGACAAGGCGGAGACCAATGGACCTCAACAGCACTAGGGGAACTCAGCCAAGAGGTGCAGTGCACTGGGCAAGCAGCTTCATTGAAAGTTCCAGCCAAGTTGGCGATTAAGATGACTACCTGTCTTGGGGTTAATCGAAACATGATTAAACAACGCATTAGAATGGGCCTCCTAGATTTGCCAACATGTGAAGCCAATATAGGAGAGCCTCGTTGTAACCTCTGACTTAGAACCCCCATTTATCTCAGAAATGTCAATTAGCCATTCTGCCCAGGTAGTGATCAAAGCAGGGTTAATTTTTAAATTAAGAGCACCCCCAAACCAAACTAATTCAACCCATGGGCACAGAAGGAATAAGTGCTCCACTAATTCCTCGTGTAAAGAACACAATGGGTAAACAGGGCATTGCGCCTATCTCCTCTTGAATAAGTTCGCCATGGTTGCAATGGCGAAGTGAAGGGTTTTCCATATGAAGCATCGAACCTTTGGTTTGTATGTATGGTTCATAGTCTTCCAGATAGAACTGGGAATAAATGTAGAGGACGATGGACCCGGGCTTCTATAAGATGGTATCCTGACTTGACAGAAAAAATTCCCCTTTTTTCAAAAGGCCACACCAATCTGTCACTGAGCTCCGAATCACCGATTGAAGTTTCTAACATGGCATCATAATCCTTAGTCGGCCCAACGAAATGGAAGGAATCCATCTATCGATCTAAACCCGCACATCATTTCCATTCATAATCTGCCAATGTGCTCCCCCAAGTAATATGTTTTTGCTGGCTAATAAGCTAGACCAAGCCCACGACGCTTTGTCACCCCTTTCTGCATCCAGGAACGAACAATTAGGGAGTGCTTTAAGCACCTCTGCCCACTTGGAATTCCGTTAAAAAATTATTGCCAGTAGAGCGTCATTAAAGTCCACAAAATTTTTGAACCCAAGCCTACCATCGGCTTTAGAAAGGCATAGCTTCTCTTTGGAGACCCAATGGATATGATGTTCTCTGTCTTTTTGTCCCCACCAAAAGTCAGCTATCATAGCATCAAGCTCCTTACAGAAAGTTATGGGGAATTTGAAAAGGTGTAAGATATATTCTGAAATCATAAGAGCAACAACAAGACATTAGGATCACGAATACAATAACGAAATCGACATGAAAAGGAAATAAACTTATCTGTAAAATTCAGAGACATGGTTATGAAGATGAAGCCATTGATGAACTCTAAGTTGTCTTCTCCTTCCAATACTCCAAAATATCCCACTATTGCAGACGAAGACATTATGGAATGGAAGAGAATGAAGTCTTCTACTCTCAGTATACAATATGTTCTTTGCCAAGGAATAGGGTTTGGGTTATTAGAACTTGAAATATGAGAGCAGGGACATTCCCCTTTATATGTGATTTGAATATTCCATCGTGTCCTAGTATTGGAAGGAATATCAATATAATCATAACCATATCAATATATTACCATGATATCAATCTATGTTTACCACAATGTTTTAAAGAACTCGCATCGGGGCGCGTCTAGGGCGCCTTTGAGGCTGGGCAGTGAGGTAAACACCTTAGTTTTGCGGTGAGGCAAACCCAAAACGACGCCGTTTGGGTAAGGATTTTCAGTTTTAAACATCCTATTCATACCATACCTTCGATCGCCTGAGTCTGCCTCTGCCTTCTTCGCCTTTTTGCTTATTCTCTCGTGCGCCAAAAGCCCGATCGCCACGCTGCTTGGAGCAGCATTGTCACCACGTCGCCATCACCCCTCCGCCGTCACCCCAGCACCGTCACCCTAGTGCCCTCAGCAAGATCCCAAAGGTTAGGGTTTCTGAAATTCTGAAAAAGTTAGGGATTTAGTTTTTTGGGGAAGGTTTTCTGGGGAAGCTCTGCCTCTGCGTGCTACTGCTGCCTTGTTTGTAGATTTGAATAGTTGGTAACTTGGTATTAGATAGAAAAGTAGATAAGGGTAACTTGGTAATAGGTCAGAAAGTGATAGTGTAGAAGGGTTATTAACTTAATAGACAGAAAATAGATCCAGCTCCTTAGTTTAAAGTTTAAACTAAAGCCACAATAAACTTATACATTGACCAAAAATATAAATTGCGGACAAGCCTCTGCATACTATAAGTGGGGTTTGTCACGATCATGTTAATTAATTGAATACTTTGCTCCACTACTTGCACAAACCGTTTATTAACCGTTTGTGTGTGGTTTTGGAAATTGTTGGTAATGATTCAGAAGAATCTTTTGATGAATCGATGACATACCCTACAAGGTCATCTAGAGTTGGCAATGAAGATGATGATGCCTTTTATTTGGACGAAGAGGATTTGGATGATTGATTAATATCTTTGTTTGCATTTTGATTTCTATGAGGGATGAATGATTGTTTTCTTTGTTTGTATTACCTTTTGAATGATGAATTTGGATATTACATTTGAATGATGAATTTAAATGATATTATTTTTTGAATGACTATGGATTTGAATGAAAAATTGAGAATGGATGTTTATTTTACATAGTATTGTTTTTATACAATTATATTTATAATATATAAAACATATATATATATATATAAATTAAATCCCGTGAGGCTTCGCCTCCAACGCCTCGCCCACGCCTCATGCTTTTAATACATTGGTTTACCGTAATAGGGCTTTGCCATAAGTTAGTTGCATTAGGGTTTAAGACTTCACGATTCTTACTCTATTAGGGCTATTACAAGATTACTTGTCAACCAAGTATTCTCAAGAAATCTTGTTGACATTCACAATATGATCTCGCTAATTACTCAACAAGATCTTACATTCTCCTACTTGAATGCCAACGATAATGCCCAATAATGAATGAATACAAGGTGATCACAAAGTCTTACAATAGTATGCAACTTCCCTTCGAACAACCTGTCACTTTCAGATTGATTGCTGGATATAGAAAACCAAGTATATATCTAGCTACACTTGCACTCTATAATCACATGCACAATCATTTTGACAGCACTTTGTTGTTAACATAATCATGGTAATCAAAATAGTTGAATTACTCATCAACATACTTAATAGTTAACTGAATTATACTCCATTTTTACTCGTATAATTATTCTGTCAAACAAACTTCAATAGTCAATGGAACATTACAAGAACAACAATTAAATGAACATAAGGGAAAACTAGCTTATTTAAAAGTTTGAGTAGAGAACAAAACCGACTGATGAATGTCTACTCCCACTCATTAACTGAATCAAATGTTTCTTGAACTCCCATATTGAACACATGCCTCTTGAACACTCCCACTAAACGAAACAGATACCTTTCAAATACTCCCATTAGTAAAACATTAGTCATGGGATCTAGAACATAAAATTTATGACCTCAACATCTTTATTCTAGATATCTGTAGGGAAGTGACTCTTGTGACTGAAAAAATATACAAAATCATTTGGTCAATTTTGTTCATCTAACATTTGACAGAAATAGAATACTTTAACTAAATGTTTTCTAATGCATCAAAAGCACATAATTCTAGAATCATCTTTGGACGGAAACTAATTATATTAGGTTTGCATAGCCAAAACATAAAATACAAGGGCAAACGTATGTAACTTCAACACTTTTGAGCAGATGAAGTATATACCATCTTGTCAATTCTATGCTTCATTATACATTGATTTATAGTTGTATTGAATAAGAAAACAGTTTTGAGCAGATTAATTATCCATCAATAACATATAAATTACAAGTCCAATTTCTTGAACAACATACAAGAATTAATAAGCAAAACACTTTTGAGCAGAATATACTCATTAACCCTTCTTGAATTTCCTACAAAATTAGTTGCATATATAACAAATAAAATATAAACAAGTATGATAATGCACGTTTTATGTACCAAAACTATGACCATTAAAGACATCCAATAAAATTGATGAGCGTGAATAACATATAAATCACAAGTCCAATTTCTTGAACAACATACAAGAATTAATAAGCAAAACACTTTTGAGCAAAATATACTCATTAACCCTTCTTGAATTTCCTACAAGATTAGTTGCATATATAACAAATAAAATATAAACAAGTATGATAATGTACGTTTTATCTACCAAAACTATGACCATTAAAGACATCCGATAAAATTGATGAGTGTGAAGCCCATAATACATTATTTCTCCCACTGGGGCAAACACTCAAAATTGCAAGAATAAACACTAGAGAAAGTGGTTTTCATATAACAAAATATAGGCTAGTTGAATAAATAAAGATAGTGTACACAATCCATTATATAACATGGCAAATTTTTACAAAGTTTGGAGTTAGAAAAATCTATCAAAATTGTAATCAAATAGGATACGTTGCAAGGTATGCAAAACTCCATCAATATTTCCCAAGCTCTACCAAAATTTCAGATTAATCATAATTTAAATAAAACCAATTTACAATCTTTAATATGCTCAAAACACGAAAATTTCTTATATCAATTAAAGGTTCATTTCATTAGATAAATAACCTTTAATATGCCCAAAACATTAAAATTTCTTAAACAAATTTGTTTGAGTCACAAAATAGTTGGTGTGGACATAATGAACCAATCTATATGTATCAAAATTAGGCTTATATTAGGCACAATATCTCAACAACATCAATTTTTCAACAATAATTTTAATCCAATTTAGAACTCACAAAAAATTAAGGCAAAAGATTGGCAAATTTACCTACTCATTCTCGATCTTGCAAGATTCATCATGGAAGTAGTCGAGTTGTGGAGGATCGAACCAACTCCAAATTGCATGATTGTTACACTTTTGGGAAGAAACTAATCATGCAAAGAAAATACCTGCATAGCTAGCAAAACATAAAATACACAAAATAAATATACCTTTAACAGCTTTGGCTAGATGAAAATATGTTAGAAGAACTTTATGATTTGCTATAATAATAATTTATAATTGGTGATTGATTTCCTGAAATTCCCATTGGGACAAAAGTATTCACCATATAAATTCAAATGCTGATTTTTCAAAATAATCCTTTAGAACATTATTAAATAACCGTTTTGTTAGATATTCAATGATTCTCAAAAGATTAAATCAAACATAAAAGTATGTCATTATTGGCATTGAGCAATAGAGTTCTCGAAAGAGGAAACATGGTTATTTAGTTATTTGATAGAGACCAAAATGATCAATTAGTAAATTGATGCCACTTTCCAATTTTCTCTCAAAAGACAATTATCATCATAATCAGAATTGATGACCAAACAAAACATTGGTTTAATCAAAACAAAGCAATACATGAGTTCAGTGGCGAAGCCAGAAATAGTCAGAAGAAGCATGAAATTTAAAATGGTAAAAAGGTCCTAGAAAAAAATATAGGCAACCAAATCCTTTTAGATAATAGACAACATTAATGTCGTTTGTTCATAATGTATCAATATAAACAAGTTATAATTGTTGCCGACAAGTTTTCATGTCATAAAAAGGTGTATAATAGGCTTTTTTTCACACACTAGAGGTATTTTTTAAATCACAGGCACTATATAATACTTTACTGTCAATCAAATGAATCGAATTATACTTTACAAGAAATTAATGTCGTGATTCATATAGCTACCTACCCTTAAATGTGAATCGAATAATACCTACCCTTATCTTTCCATGAATGATAGCTTGGTTGATACCTTGCAAGACTCTTTACTTGTTTTCGCCACATGCAAGACTCTATTACTTTCTTGCATGTCCACTTTAAATTAATGTCGTGATTCATATAGCTACCTACCCTTAAATGTGAATCGAATAATACCTACCCTTATCTTTCCATGAATGATAGCTTGGTTGATACCTTGCAAGACTCTTTACTTTTTTTCGCCACATTAACGCAAGACTCTATTACTTTCTTGCATGTCCACTTTAAATTAATGTCGTGATTCATATAGCTACCTACCCTTAAATGTGAATCGAATAATACCTACCCTTATCTTTCCATGAATGATAGCTTGGTTGATACCTTGCAAGACTCTTTACTTGTTTTCGCCACATTAACGCAAGACTCTATTACTTTCTTGCATGTCCACTTTAAATTAATATCGTGATTCTTATAGTTGCCTACCCTTATCTTTCCTTGACTATTAACAAAAGTGGTTGATACTAATTTTCCAATTAATGTAGTGAGTTTGACAGAATGGATTTGGAAGTCTAGATATTGTGCTAGCCAGAGTTTTCTTCCTTAATGTGCTTGATTAATTTAGCATTCTTGTAACTGATAATGTTAAATAGAGAAACATTTAAAACACTCAGATTATACAAGAAAAAAAAATCTCTCACTTATAGTGAAATAATAATTGCTTGGAGATGAGCTTACTGACCTCTAATGATGAGAGCGATAAGAGCAAATCTAGTCAACAGTAACAGGATTTGCCCTAGACAATGCTTGTGGTGGAATGGCCGAGCAACCTTACAAAAACAACTATATAAGCAAGGGTACTTTAGGCATTTCCTATCATCACCTCTATTATTCATATCTTTTGTATTTTTCTTTCTATTTCAGCAAGCAAATAATGAAATGGTCTTGTTATCCACACTATTTTGTATCAAAATGGCCTTGTAATATTTTTCTTTATATTTTTCTTTCTATTTCTTTCTATATCAAAATAATATTACAAACACATTATTCTGCAGAAGTCTGCAGAATACCAGCAACAGGGTATCTCACTTAAAAATTTACCATAAATCCATTTCTTGTCCAAAAAACGTGAAAAAATACCAGCATCTAAAGTCCATTTAATATGACGATATGACCGAATTTCATAAAATTTGAAGTTAGGGAAGTCTATCAAAAACTAGAATGTCTATCAGCCATACGAAATATGCACATATACCAAACAAGCGTCTGCAAAAGATTTACGATGCCATTGAAAAAACTCCCCAAAATCTCAATTAAGAATCGATAGCCCAGAACTACTCATATAAATAAGGTACATGAATTTCAAATTTGTCAAAATAACTAAAGTCCATCTGAATTGCAAGATTTATGGTTCGAAAATAATCTAATTCATTGAAAGCCCCAATAAAAGTTTCCTTCCAACAGATTTAATTAATCATGAAATCAATACAACAATATAATTAATAAATACAATAAACATAAATCCGTGTTGTAATCCTTCTCTGCAGCACAACGATAATTATTATGGAAAAAGAAGACAACCCTATATACTCAAGAAAACCCCATAATCTACCGAAAGGAAGAAGAAGAAAAGAAAAAAAAACAATTAGCCGGTGACTAATTATGAACTCCAAATTCACCGTGTAGTTAAATTATTTCCCTTTTATTTTCCATGCCCAATTTCAATTTGTTTGGACCTAAATCCCTAAACAAAATTGCAAACTCAAGTGATACAAAATTGCGGAAGCATCTTTATGAAGTCTCACACGATCGAATAGTCAAAATAGCCAACCAAAAGATAAACACAAATTATGCTTCACTTGTGTCAATCATCTACAGTTAATCAAATTACCTGTGAATTGAACCCTAAGCTTGTTGTGTGGCTCTGATACCACATGTAAGATATATTCTGAAATCATAAGAGCAACAACAAGACATTAGGATCATGAATACAATAACGAAATCGACATGAAAAGGCAATAAACTTATCTGTAGAATTCAAGGACATGGTTATGAACTCCCTGCAATTGAAGGACATGCCGGAATAGCTTGTGCCACAGCCTTGATCAAAACCTCTCTCCCTGCAATTGATAGAGTAAACTTCTTCCAGCCTTGCAATTTCCCCAAAAAGACGCCCCTTCACATAAGCCAAACCACATTTTTTTTAGCGACCCCAAATTGTTGGGACACCCAGATACACCCCGGGGTCATCAACCTTGTCCATTCCCAAAATACTTGTTAACTCATTCGCCAAACCTGCAGGAACATTACGGCTGAAGAACACATTTGACTTAGAGCAATACTCATCAATTAAGCAGACTAGATTTTGGCAGTTATCCTTCTCCGCCTTCAGAAAAATGAGAGTATCATCGGCAAAAAATAAATGAGAAATGGCCGAACCGTTGCGATTCAATTGTATCTCTTCAATTCCTTTTATCTCACTTGCATGCTGCATAAGTAGAGAAAAGACCTCACTCACCATCAGAAATAAGTACGGGGATAAAGGATCTCCCTGGCGAAGACCTCTGGAATGAGGAAATTTATCGCCTGGCTGACCATTAAGCAGAATTGCAAAGTTCACCGATAATATACATCCCATTATGAGATTCCTCCAATTACTATTGAACCCCAATCTTTCCATCATCGCCATTAAGAAATCTCACTCCACACGGTCGTATGCTTTATGCATATCCAATTTAACTCCAAGTTCGAATTTTCTTTTGGTATTCCTCAACTTGAGAAAGTGGAAAATCTCATAAGCAATACCAATGCTATCTTGAATTTGTCTCCCTGCAACAAATGCATTTTGAGCTGTAGAAATCAATGTTAGCAGAAGTGGTTTTAGACGGTTCGTCATCACTTTTGATAGAACCTTGTATGAGTAATTACACAGACTTATGGGACGGAACTAGTTTACATTTTCCAGGCTTGGCACTTTGGGGATCAACACCACATGAGTAGCATTCATACGGTTTGGGGTTTGTCTACCAGTCATCAGGTCCACAATTAGCTCATTTACATCATTCATCCCAATAAGAGTGGTAGAAAATACCTTGAAAGCCATCAGGTCCAGGGGCTTTTAGGCCACCCATCTGTAAAGCCGCATGCTTAACCTTCTCCATCGAAACCGGAGTAGTAAGGCTCTCATTCATCTCCATAGTGACTTTAGGGGTGACGCAATCCAAGATCAAACCCCAATCCCGCTGCCCCACCAAGGTAAAGAGATTTGTGAAATGGCTATCTATAATATTCCTTACCACCCGTGGGTTGTCCACCCAACCCCTACTCCCATTCCTTAAAGAGACGACTTTGCTTCAACATCTTCTTTGCATTGTAGATTGGTGAAAGAACGAGGTATTAACATCTCCATCTTGAAGCCATTTAACTCGCAATCTCTGTTGCCAGAAGCTCTCCTCTTGACTCCACAATCGATCCACCCTCTTCATGAGCACTTCTATCTCTTGTGCATTAGCTCCCCAATCTATTTGAAGGGACCCAAGTTTCTTCATCATCTCGTCAAGTTGTTGCCCTTTCTGTTTGAATTTCCTTCGACTCCATCTCAATAATTTGTCGCGGCAATCGTTGATTTTCCTAGACCATCTCTTCATACTATCACCACTCCACCGCATCCTTCAGCATCGTTGAATGACCTATCGGCAATCAATTTCCTTTGCCCAAAAAGCCTCAAAGCGAAAGAGTTTTTTCCTTTTCACCTCATTTTGCTCACACTGTATCAAAATAGGACAATGGTCCGATCTCAACACCGTACAATGAGTAGCAATGGTGTTTAGCCATAATGACTGCCAATGGCCGTTGACAAGACCTTTATCAAGCCGAGCTTCTACTAGTTGCCCATTCCTCGTTCCTCTCCAAGTGAACCCCAGTCTCTTAAAGCCCAAATCCATCACTTGAATTTTACCCATGAAATCCTCTAAGTACCGAGTTCTATTGTATCTCACTTCCGCTCCACCCGAATTTTCCCACTCCCATAAGAATTCATTAAAGTCACCACCACATATCCAAGGGATATTGTTAGGGTTGAACTTCTGAACCATCCCTCTCCAAAACTCATTTTTCTCCGAGCGTTAAACCTTCCATAGACTCCCATATATCAAAAAACCCCATTAGAGTCTCTGAAATTGCATCTAGCATTAATAAAGTGCTTGGAGGAATCAAAGATCTCCACTGTGATTAAGTTATTCCACCAAAAACTTAAACCACCCACTCTCCCAATCGGAGCTATGTTCAAAACCATTCGAATACCCCATACGCAGCCTCACACCTTCAATTCTATGATCTTTCATTTTTGTTTCCGATAGAAAAATCATAGAGGGTCTATGTTTCCTGATAAGCCCATGTAGGGCCCGAATTACTGTGTCCGACCCCAGACCATGGCAGTTCCAAAATAGGTGTATCATGGTGACCTTGCGGCTGTTGAAGGCCAGCTGCCACCACCTCGGGATTGGCTTCCCGCTTCCTTAGCTGTCATAAGTTTCTCTTCCCTCGCAGACATATCCTCTAGGTATTCCCACATATCCTGATATTTTACCGGTATTTCTTGCAGCTCCTCCGCATAGATAACTCTTTCCATCATTAGGTATCTTTCCTTTATGCTCATCCTACTCAACTTTTCAGTAGCTTTCGTTTTCTTTTCCGTTGTGCTCCAGCTATCCTCCTCACCTTTGGCTTTCTTTTGTGGGGATTGTATCATCTCTTGCTCATCAGCCCCTATCCCTCTTATAGAGCTACTCCCACTCCCTTGCTCCTAACAACCCTCATAACTCATCTTAACTAGCCCTTCATGATCGGGCTTTGCCCTTCGCCTAGATAATAAATATTAGCTTGCAAGCCTTGCAGACATCTTAACGACCATATAAATATTACAGGCTGAATATGTAATCACAAACATATCTGTAGCGAGTTGGATAAGGCTCAGGTGCATGGTTGACAAAAGGAGGGGTTCGAATCTCTCTATGCGCAAGATTGAGACTTTCAGCATTTTTCAAGTATTTTCGCGCTATGTCGCCTATAATATCGATATTTAAATCACTGGTGATAGCCAGATTTATCTCACTTACTAGAGATAAACTAGTGTTGGACTTGGTTTGTCACTGGATTTTATTGAGTGACACTACAATCCATTCAAAATTGGCCACGTGACAAGTCTTAAATATAATCTTTTATCATTCTTTTATATTTAAGACTCTCATAATTATTTTCCTTACTAATTAATGTACAATCAATTATCAATCTAATGGCTAACTTTTTATTCTTTTCCCCCTTTTTTTCTTCCCAAATATATTCCATGGGTTTGTGTTTTGCCGAGACTGTACAGCAGAATTCGACAAGACTCAGCTTGGCTGATCTAATTACCAACGTTGATGACTGACACCGTCAAACGAGAAAGGCATCAAGCCGCGGTTTCATCTATCATGGAACGTATGTTGGCTCATTGGTATGCTATTGCTAAGCAACCATACTCGGGCGTAAACTTAATCGAATTTTTGGCCTAACCCAATAACGGCCCAATTTTATCGTTAGATAAAGTTTAGGCCGCACCAGCCGAACTCGAAGACAATCGGCCCCAAGTTAAAGACCCATTAGAAGAAATAAATGTTGGCAAAGCCGATGAGCCTCGACTGTTGTTTATTAGTGCATTGTTGCTGCCCCTCATGAAGGTCGAGCTTTGTAAACTGCTTCATGAATTTAAAGATTGTTTCGCGTGGAATTATCATGAGATGCCAGGCCTTAATCGAAACCTCGTCGAACATGAGTTACACATCAGAATGAGGTGTAAGCCTTTTCGACAACCCCCACGCCGGTTCTCGACAGAAGTACAGCTTGGCATAAAGGAAGAATTAGTTCGATTTTTGAAAGTCGGGTTTATTCGGACCGCTTGG